AAATAAATAAATTAAAAAAAAAAAAAAAAGAAAGCCTCTTTCATGGTACTGCTGAGATTTGAGCAGGGCACTAGGTGGAATAATTAAGTCTACACTGATTTAAATGACAATTAAGCCTTCCACGGGGAAAAAATTTTATTATTTATCTATAGTGATTGTAAGTGACATATATTATGTGTCTTTCTGTTCCCAACTAAAAGGAACAACCAATTTAATTCTGAACTACAAAGGAATAATTTCATTTCTTTCTCAAGTATTAGTATGCAGCCCACAATAAAGGTTGGTATTTTTCTTTTTAATTACTTGATATAGGGTTTCACTATGCAGCTCAGACTCATAGTCCGAGTCACTATGAAGATCCTCTTGTTTCAACCTCCCTAGTGCTGGGATTACAGATGTGCATCACCATGCCTGGTTCTGGGGCCAGCATAGCACACCCAGGGTTCTGGGACCAGCACAACATGTGGTATCAGAGATCAAACTTGGGACCTTGCACTTGCCAGGCAGGCACTTAGACTGCCGAGTTATCTCCTCAGCCAAAATGTTGGCATCTTTGTAATTGTTTTAAGGTCAAGACTTTGAAATACCTAACATGCAAATCAAATGAAATGTGCAAGAAATACCTCTTACATGACACTCATTGACCTGGCATACGGTGGTAGAATAATGATGGCTTATGGAGGGCTTACTAGAAGTCAGGCAACATTATAAGTGCTTTCCATGTATTGTCTCATTTAATTCCAACAACTCAATGCATTGTTTCAATTTCATAGATGAAAAAGAGACAACTGGAGGTTAAGCAGCTTACCAATCAGTAGCAAAGCTAAACTCAAGACCTCATTCCAGAGCCTTCACTTTAATACCATGTAACATGTACAGTGTATATGAAAGAGCTGGGTGTATTAAGAAATGAAAAAAAATTGAAATTTATTAAAAAATTTTAAAGTTGCCAAATTCTTTACACTTCTAAAAATTGTAAATATGAGCTAAGCTTACCCTGCATATGTCCGCTGATATAAAGATTCTGGATCCAGACTTGCAGTATCCACGATGATCGCTTCATCAAAATTTTTCAAAATTTTAATACTGGCTTTTTTCACACTGGACTATAACAGAAATTACAAAATTAGTAGCAGGTTAGTCTAAAAACAAACCAGTCCTTGGTCTGGAATATGACAGACTTGCACTTATTTTCTTCAGTGTTCAAGATAGCATAATTTTCAATCAAGACTTTCACTGCTGAGGTTAACAGCAATAAAATGTTTATTTATTTACTTATAGACAGGGTCAGGCTGGCCTTGAATTCACTACGTATCCCATGCTGGCCTTGAACTTGCAGAAATCCTCCTGCCTCAGCCTCCCAAATGCTGGGATTAAAGGCATACACCTGGTATGAAATACACCTTCAAACTACATCTATGGGGGGAAAGCACAAGAGTAAAATATGTAACTATGCTTTTATATGCCAACTCTATTTTCTTAATGACTTGTTTTAACAAATGTGCTATCCTAACAAAGC